GTTGTGTTTAATTTTCTGGGACTTCCCTTTTTACTCCATATCATACTGGTAAAATTCCTCCCTATCGTTGTATATAATTTTAATTGTACTTCATTCATTTTCATAACTTCTGTCAACGTGGTACAACCAATTTATCCACTCTGTGTGCAGGCACTTGACTTACATTAGTTCATTTAATCGTCATTACAACCCTGTAACAGAAGAAGGAACCACTTTCTACTCTTGCTCAGAGTGCTTCAATCTATTCTTTCAGGATCTCCATTTTAAAGATGACACTGAGAGTCAGAAATATTAGGTAACTTTCCTGAGGTTACATAGCTCACCGGTGGTGACACCTGCATTTGGTCTCAGAGCTCAGGCCTTCTTTTGAAAAGAGAGACATACTGGCTGCCCCAGGCTTCTCGACCTCAGCACAGTAGAGCCGCAGGCAACACTCCCACCTTCTCCCTGCTGTTCTTTCCACAATATCCCCACGCATCATGTAATTTCAGACATGTTCTAATGATGCAAGCTCCAAGCCAGCTAGCCCAGCCCCCGGACAAGGGCCCTAGGTCTTCTGGAGTTATCCTGGGCCTGCTGCTCTACAGGGACCTACATGCCAGCCTGGTTGGGTCTTGCATGATGGGCTAGAAGAGATGTGGAGAGTCAACTTGGGCAACTGAGGACAGTTGGTGGAGCTGGGCTGTTGACTAAGCTGCCCTTTCCTTAGGCCAGACTCTAGTTTAGGGTCTAAACTCTGGAGGCCTCCGCTCAGCGTGGCTTTAGGTATAGCCGCAGCCCTAGCCATAGCTTAAAAAACAGGATGGGACACAGGCCGACAGCTCACAGGCCAGGCCAACTCCAAGGTTTGAGATACTCCCCTCACCCGAGACTGGGCCCCGGCGCGCCAGTCAAGGGGTAAAATTGACACGAGGGTCAGAGCTTAGTGCCTAGTGCCCCCTGTCACCAACCTGATGCCCTGCTCAGATCTGAGGCAGGTGTGAATCAGTTTGTACCATAGAAGAAGGACAGGGCCCTCTCCTTGCAGAAACGTGTACCTACTCCACCAACTTTGATGAGGCCCTGGAATGCTATTTGTTGATGACCACTGAGCCATCCAACCAACAAAAGGAGTGCTCTAAAGGGGGTTGTCGCTGACCTCTTAATGTGAAAGAGCAAGACAAGGAGGTGAGCTAAGAGGTGGGGTCTGGGCCCGGCCGTGCGTGGCTCAGCCTTTGAGGGTCGACCTAGGATCCAGGCGATCAGGGTTCGATTCCCGGTCAGGGCACATGCCCGGGTTGTGGGCTCGATCCCCAGTTGGGGGTGTGCAGGAGGCAGCCGATCAGTGACTCTCTCATCATTGATGTTCCTATCTCTCTCTCCCTCTCATTTCCTTTCTCTGAAATCAATAAAGATATATTTGGGAAAAAAAGAGAGGTAGGGTCTGTTTCTGCACATTTATCTCTGGTTATTAGACACTTTTAGAGGGAACATCTGTTTGTCCATGCTGGCTCCCATAATGCCGGTCCCATTTGAAGGCCAGCGTGGCCCCTTCTCTGACTGAATTGGGACTAAGTCATAAATTAGAGCCATAAGAGGGACCTAGACTATGAAATCAGAGGGGACTTTGCTCATCTCACCAAAAAAAGGGCAATTGGGCTCCTCAGCTGACCAGCCTTCAAGTGGAAAGCAAAGGAAATGGAGGGAGTTTTGAATGCACCTGGTGGTGCCCACTCCCCGCTGACCCATGGATGACAAGGCATATTCTGGGGACAGCGTGACTAGTCTAGGCAGGACGTGGGAGTCATATCAGAGCACACAGCTCGAAAGTTCTTCCAAGGTTCCATGAACCTGGGCTGGGCTCCACGATTTCATTTCTCCTTTGGTTTTAAACTTTGGATGTTTGTTTTACAGGAGGGATATCTGTGTTTATAGCAGGTCTTCCTACGTCATCGCACAGTATGTTCTCAGGAGATGTACACGTTGGCTGACTCTCAGGACAATTGGCTAACTAATTGTACAAGAGGAAAAGCTGTTTTCTTGTTTAGCTTGTAAAGGTACTTATAAGAACATCAAATCAATGCAATGGTTGGTTAAAATATTCCTTTGGATGTTGTTTCTCTAGCCCACATTTCCAATTTAATAGCCTGCTAGATATTTCTGCTTGGACATACCACTGAAACTTGAAACTCACTATGTGACTTCACAGTCCCTTTCTGGCTCTGAATCTCCCTCTCCCCCACACGGTCGTCCTGTTTCTATTGGTGCCCCACAACTCTTCAAGTTATGCAGGTTCAAAATTTCGTTAACTCTGAAGTCTGATTCCTCAATTTTTGTCCTTGCGCTTCTTGCCTCTCCAATTCTAGGCCCCAGTGCCTTACCAAGGCAGCTCCGCCTCTAGCAGCTTTTGCACCCGTCTCTTCTATTCGAAGCAATCAGCCCTCCAAGTCTGTTGACTGTGCCCTTATGACGCTTCTTGTATTAACCCCTCCTCAACATTCCCAGCATCTGCGACTTGGTCGAATGCCCAGCATCTCCTACTTGGACCCTGGCAGTCTCATCCCAAGATCCGTCCCTTTACAGTTCACCCTGCATGAGTTACCATATCAGTTTTGTATAAATCACAGCTCGTATCACCCTCCTGCTCAAAACCTTTCATTGGATGCCCTATTTTAGCAAAGAGAGTAAGAGCTTTCATGTCAGCTTTTAAGCCTCTTCGATAGATAACTTTTTCCGGTAAATATCCGATGCTCTTGTTACACTAGATGATCCAGTGTCCTTCAGACACACCCACCTATCTTCCCTCCCGTTTCTCTTCTCCCTGCAACGTCCTTTCTCCCTTATCACTTGTCAAAATCTGTGTATCTTCAAGCTACGCTTCAACCTTCTTTGTGAACATTCTGGATCCCCATCTTTTCCTGATAGAAACCCTCATAGTACTTGGTTTGTACCCAGCATGGGACAACACGTCCCACCTCTGACAGACACAGACAGATATCCAGGAACTGCGTCTTACTGATCTCTGTCTCCTCTCTCAAGCTTTTGTGCTCAGCACACAGGAGCATTTCGTGAATGTTCATTGCACTGCAGAGGTCTCCCTGACTCCATTCTCTCTCCTTGCCAATAATTCATTTAAATAATTATCTGATGATACTGGCACTTTGTTTCTATATAACATTATAAGTTATTAAACTCTTTCCCATTTGATTTTCATGAACAGCCCTTCATGGCAGGCAGGATAGGTTTCATTCTCATTTTACAGATTCGAAACCAAGGCTCCCAGGGGGGGAATAAGTTGCCCAAAGCTACAAGCAAGTAAGGAATGTAGCCATTAATCAAACCCAGAGAAGTATCCTGATATGCCGATGATGGCCAACGAAGAGGGCAAGTGAAGTCCAAGCCCTGCCAAGGACCCCTCGGTCTTCCCACTTTACAGAGTGTGATGAGAATATTCTAAGCCAGCCGGGGGGCACCTCACATAGGGTACCCGTCAGGGAGCTGGGCAGCTGGTGCTGTGTGATTACATGATCATTTTAAATTTGCATTTTAAATTTGTGTCAGTTTTGTTCCTTTCAGCCCCAGATACACATATCATCATGTGAGCACCAGGAACCTTCGACTCCTCCTTCCCCTCCAAATTAAGTCATGATTCCCACCATGAATCATAACTCCAGGCCTCCTTTCAATTTGAACACTCAGTAGATGTTTGTTGCTCGGAACTCATCAGGAAACTCTGGAATCAGGCCTAATCTTCTCCATTTTCTCACACTTGGAACTGACCCTTTATTTACTCATTCATTCATTCATTCATTCATTCATTCATTCATTCATTCATATCTATCCATGGATTCATTATCCAGCAGACTTTTCTTGAGTACCAGATCCATACACTGCCACGTATTCCATGTCCCTAGGATTCTTTCTGGCTCTTCAGTTCCAGGCAGAAGAATCCCAAGAAGCTCTCAGTGGGCTAATGTGTTTTCTTTGTCCAGGTAATACTTGTGCATTTTAACAGTGGGCTTCACCAAGAGAATGTGAAGGCTTAATGAAAGGATGGTGGAGATTGAAGGTATTTTTGGATAAAAAGGGTCTTTTCCAAAGAGACCTCATGTAAGACTTGGGGGGTGGGGAGGTGATCTCTAATTTCCTATTCCCCCAAGGTTACACAGCCCCCCTCTGTTCTTCAGTGCCCTCCCAAGGATATTAGTGAGAGCCGTGCTGCACAGGGTCTTTCCCTTACTAAAGCTCAGCTAGGATGCTCCTACTGGACCTTGCCAATGCTGACGATCAGAGCTTGAAGCAAGCGGACGAGGCAAGGGAAATCCTCGGGTCTTAATGGCACTTGGGGTTGTTAGATATTTAATTTGGAAAAATATGGACATTCAAGGGAATAAATAAGTGCTGGTCCCAGAAATGTAAGGAATCCTTGTCCCCACTGCCTTCTCTTCCACCCTTAACTTTCTTTGCATTGAACGGATCCTGGCTGAGCGTCACGCAGGGAGCCAGGACTTCTCAGCCGCCCCTCTTCACTCTTAGAGGGCCGAGTGAAATAAAGGGCGTGTTGGTTTACCTCAGAACCTATCAGAGGGCCTTGTCTGGCAAAGGCAGAGTGTTGGTGAGCAAGGCTGCGTGGCACATGAGGACAAATGAGATGCTTCTGGGGATCAAATTATTCGCAAAACAATATTGCAAATAGTTTTTCCTTTCTACTTGGCAAATACAACCCCTGAGATCAGTTACCTTTTTTTTTTTTTTTAAGTGGCAAAATATTTCCCTCCACAAATTCTCCCTTTCTCCCACGTCACTTTAAATACAGTGTGAGATGTTCTGGGGGTTTTGAAACATCAGGCACGTGAATCAGGACTGTTGTTTTGCTATCTTTCAATATGAATGAACCATAACGAGTGGTACACAATAAAGAATTCATTTATTTGTTTTCCCCACCCTCCCTCAAGGTTAGCAAAATAGTTCAGATTCTGATTTCCTTAACTTGCAAAAAAATGTTGTTTCCCAGAGTTCAGAGATCTTCAGACACCTTCCACCAGCCTCAGTGCAGGTCCAGTTGCCTTGAGCTGAGGCCCATAGTCAGCTGCCTGCTGCAGGACTGGCTCAGTGTATAATTATACAATGCATACAGTTTGAATTTTTTCCTGCTATGCAGAAGCTTAATTGGAGTAGAAGAATAAATGCGAATTGCTTTACAAAAATTAGAAGGTGATAATTAATTCTCCTGGAGCAACCTTTAGGTAATTGGCTATGGCCGATTGCAGCGCTTTTAGTAAGTCAGTGATATGTGCCAGAAGTATTTGATATATTTCAATGTGCAGGTCAATCAATCTTTGGGACTTAGCAATGAAGTCTTCATAATAACCAGAGAGCTGGTCTGAAGAATTCTGTAGTTTATATTTGAACTGCTGGTGGTAATCAGAAATGATTTCCTTCATTGCAATGGTTGAGTTTTTAATTATTCTCTGAGCACTGGTAGAAAGGTCTACAATCTTCTCTCTCCCTTTTGCGTTTGCATCAGCAAGGGTGAGAAGATATTCCTGGATATCACCTGAGAGTTGGGAAGTGAAGCCAGCAGCACTGAGAGTGTATCTGGAATGCAAGTCCTTAAGGACATCTACTAACTTCTTGATTAGGCTGATTATGTTTTCTTCAAGTTCATAATATTTCACTCTCCAGCTCACCACAGTTGGATCAAAATATTCTTTGCGAAGAGCCTTTACGAATTTACAGATCTGCTCTAACTCATGAGAAGCTTCTTGAAGTTTGTTCTGAACCAGTTCATTAATCTTATCAAAGTCAAGGTGTGAGGTTTTTTTCAGGAATCTAGAAACATATTGACCATAACTGTTGAAGATGGTGTTGATCTGGTGTTTGATATCATTAATGAGGTTCTTCGTCTTTAGGTTGTTAATTTCTTTTTCTATGTATTCGAAAGCACCTTGTAAACATCTCTGAAGATCACCTAGTATCTCTGTAGTTCTGTTAACTTGGAGGGCATTCAATACCCCTCGGACCATTTGTGATAAAGTGTTCAAATCTTTCCTGAGCACCAGGGTTACATTTGCTAGTTTAAGAGTGGTTGGATCAAAAGGAAATTTAATCTTTAGGTACTCATTTAATTCAGATTTCTCCATCAGGTCTTGGAAATAAGAAAACAGCATTTCTAAACCATTATGGATTTTTGAATGTACCTGGGACAGTACCTTCCCTACCTCCTTCATAACCATAGTGCAGAGTTCATCTCCAGAGTACGATCCGGCTCTTCCTGGGAGCTGGAATCTGGACGACTTCAGGTAATCAATGAAGAAGTCAATCAGATGCTTGACTATTTTTTCATATTTCTCAGTAACTCTTATTAGGCTGTCAAGCACCTTATTTTGGAGTCTCTGGAGATTGACGTGGCCCTCCTGATCCAAGAGCTCCTGATACAGAATCTGGGCCTTGTCATTCCACAGCTGGTAGGTCCTATTAGCGCCTCTGGCTACCCTCTTGAGTTCGAGTGTCTTGTCCACCTCATCGATGAGACTCAGTGCTCCTTGGTAGGTCTGCTCAGCAGTGTTCTGCAGACTTCTTCTCAGCTTTAAAGACACCTCTCTCAGATTAAGCCCTGTGTACTCCTGGTGGCACTTGTCGACATAGTTATAAAGGGCCACTGTTGCCTTGGGGATGTTGTCTTTCACAGAGCTTAGCAGTTCAGACACTGCCTCTCTTTCCCAGTTAACTTTCGTCTGAAATTTCTCATTCGATTCAGAGCATGGGTACCTAAACTCAATCTTGATTATGCTGAGTTTTTTATCTGGAGATGACTAAAAGCAGGAAGAAAAAAAAAGATACGAAGAACATGTTTTCAATTATCCCGATTACATAATATACGACACTAAAACTTCCTTAGCAGTTAAAAGTGAAGATCAGAGGATCTTTCACATTCTGAAGGGAATTTATCTTTCTTAGGTCAGTTCCTGTGTTTGTCTTATGGTTAAACAAGTCTACTGTTGTTAATTCCTCTTTATCACATGTCTCAGAAAGGACAGAATTATGCATTTACGGCATTTACACAGCTAGACTTTAACATTAGGGCCTTCCCAGGACTGAAGAGCAGAGAAACAGGGGAAGGGGGAGGGAGGGGGGAAAGAGGCAGGAAAAGACTAATTCAGAGGAAAAAGAAGTAGTAAAACAGAACAATGGCCAAAGGCCATCCAGCAGAGATCTAGAACACCAGCATCAGGAGCCATTCACTCTCCAAGCCTGTCCACGAAATCTGCTGGCATGCTTTGATCTGGCGCGGGCAGAACTTGTAAAGTACACGAGACAGATCTGGCATAGCTCACCTGAAAATTCTATTGTGGGGAAGCATTTTGAAGCCTCAAATACTCCTGAAACCACTATCGGAAAATGTACTCAGCATATGGCAGAGTTTGCTCATGACTCAGGTGGGGAGCCATAACCCTCCTCTTTCTAGATTTGCCCAAGAGAAATAAAATAACAGTAGTAATATGATGTCATATGTACATCTAATAATTAAAATCCATAAAAGACTCATTGTAATATTTCCTGGAGAATAGGACCTCAGAGAATTTCAATGCGCTCATTGCCACGCTTCACCTAACCTGGGAAAGCCCTGAGAAAATACTTTGTGCTGAATTACATTTATCTTCCCCAAATCTCTACTTGCTGCTAAGGCGTGTACTCACCTGAGGGCGGTAGTAGAAGTTGTATTTTATGGTATCATTATTTGCTTCCAAGTCAGTGGCCACCGTGCCTATGGCTGGAGAGGCTGCCGAGTAGTAGATATTTTTACCTGCTTGGTAGCGCAGATGGACATCGGTGAACGCTGGGCTGGTGACGTCCAGGCGAGCCTCTCCTTCCCAGTCCCTGCAAGCAGGAAAAAGCAGGTGAGCCATCATGAAAGGGGGACAAAGGGGCAAAAATCACAATGATCTGAAAAGGAATGAAGTTTCAACAAAAGTTCTATACAGAGCTCCTTGGTATCTGCCATCTTCTTTATATTCTACGCTGATGTCACGGTGTGTAAATGTTCCTTTAGTCTTATAGACTAACGTGCCACCTTCAATCTTCTGTGTTCCCACAGCTGTAAAGGAGAGATTTTTCATTTGATTAATAACTGTAGGACACGGACCTTTTCATTGCGAAAACCAGGAGAAACCTATCTTAACTTAAATGGTTTGCTTATATATTTGAAACATGCAGCCCACATTAAAAAACACACCAAACAAATAGAAGATATTATCAGTCCTAAAGTCATTACAGAAAAGCCTATTTTCTATGAACCTTTTTCTCTTAAATGTCAGTAGGTTTCTACAGGATGTTATGTGTGGGTATATATGAATCTCTTCTTTTAAACTTTGCTACAGAGAGTCATCATGTCTCTAGTCATATCTAACTACATAATTATTGATTCACAACTCTTGCTGAAAATATGTAACATTTAGAATTCTTATACAGGGGGAGTCGGGACATTTCCTTACCTTTAAGGTCATATTCCAGGAACTTTACGACTGAGCTGCATGTGGAATCCAGGGATGTTTCAACCTGACCTTCTTTGTTTTCCAAACCAGCGCTCCAAGTAGCATTATACAGGGGTGAGGCCACTCGGAAACGCGCAGTCAGTGCGCCAAAGGAAGGGATGTACATTCCAGCAGGTACAGAGAACTTAACGGAAGGAATCCCAATGGTCTGCTCAGGCAAGGTGATGTCTGGCAACCTGAAGTCTGCAATCTTGCCGGCCAGCTCATTGAGATCCAAAACAGTGGCACCAATGGAAATGCTGTGTGGGTAGGTAAACTGGGGCATAGTTAACTGAAATTCAGGCACGGTGATCTCAAAAAAGGGTACTGAGGAGTCCTCTGATCCAGAATACTTTGTTAACACATCAACTTCAGGGAATTTTACTTTGGGTAGTGCTGGCACATTGAGGGCAAATGGCGAAGTACTTAGCTTCTTGTAGATTTTTATTTCACTGAAGTCAAGTGTGTAGGATGGAACCTGAAGATCTGTAAACGGGACTTGGAACGTAGGTGTGGCAAGAACTGAGTTCAGATTATTTAGTTTCAGTCCAGGAATAATAAATTTATCAGCCAATTCTTGCACAGGGACAGAGAAAGTGTAGCCATTAGGGTTTTTGGTGTATACAAGGGCCGTTGAAGCGCGCAGATACTGTTTGCTATCCATGCTGGTGGTTACGTCCAACTTTAGAAATTCCCATAAAGTCTTGTCATAAACTGGTAGAGCGATACTGTCGAGGAACCGTAGGTGCCCTTCTAAGGAACCTGCAATGTCAAGGCGTGCCTCTTCTTGGTCATTGGAAAGTTGTACATCGCTCTGAAGAGACAAGGAGTCAACCTGGATCTCACTTTTCCAGCTGGCCTTCTGGTTCTCAGTGTTAACGTTCAGGGACATTTCCTGGCCAAGGTGATTGAGATCAAGGAAGGAACTGGGCTGACTTGCATGGACCTGAACAAGGGCTGACATTTTCCAGGGGGAGAGGTCCAGGATGGCTTTGCTTGTCTGCCTTCCGGATGTTGTGAAGAGGTGCAGTAGCCTGAGCTGGTTTTCTGTGTTGTGTTCCCAGGTGGCATATATGCGTCGGAGAGTGGCTTCTCCAGCAACACTTTCTTTCACTTCAAGGTCCCAGATACCATCAACTTTGGAAGCCCCTTGTAGCTTCACTGAAGACCGAGTACCCTTGGCACTTAAATAAGTGCTGACCTCACTGTCAATCATTCCCGAATATTCCCGTGAAAGGACTGAACCCTTGATATTTCCTTTGTTAGATGACTCCATGGAAAAGTAAGAAGTGAGGCTTTCTAAGCTGAGCTTGTGGTGAACGGTCCCTGTAGCAGTAGAGGACAGCTTGGTGGAACTGAAGTCATACTCTACTTCAACAGATGAGGAGACAGTAGGCTTTGACTTGACATTTCCATTCAGTTCTTGCTTGAAATTCATTCTCAGAACTGGAATTTGAACTTTGGCCGTTGTTGTCACTGAAGCCTCCATGTTTTTCCTGGTTAAGCTGATGGTGCTGTCGTGATTGCCTTCCACGAACTTGTTGCTCAGAGACAGAGCCGTGGCTAACTTCAACCCTCTTTTTCCTGTCAAACTTGAGGTGCCCTCTAATTTGTACTGCAGAGCGTCCACGACAGAAGAGGAGGCGCTAAGGAAGTGAGCAACGATATCCGATTGGTTGTAAAGTCCAACGTTGGTGTTCAGTGTGATGACGCTTGACTTAAAGGAAAAATCATAGGTAATATTGCCCAGGGCTGGAATTAAAATATTGCTTGGGGTACTTGATACCTTCAATTGTGGAAGAGAGAACCGGAGAAAATTCCTAGGGACATGTAGGGCTGGCAGCTCTAGGGAAGGCAGGGCTACTGTATGCGAGGGCACAGAGAAGCCAGAATCTGAGATGGTGACATTGGGGGTGCTGATCTCAAAGCCGACTGTCCACATCTTTACTGCGAATGGAGAGAGCTCAGTGTTGACTACTGGAATAGTGTATCCAGGAATCTGAAAGGTTGTGGGTTCCTTGTTCAGGGATTTTTCAACCATGTACTTATTAACCTTAATTCTTGCATCATTATAGGATTTGGTAAACAAATCTAACGCCTTGCCTCTGACGTTCTCAAAATGCCTGTTGAAGGAATTGATGTTCTGATTGATAAACACGTAAAACTTGTCCAAAGGAATTGGGATGGAATGCTTGTCTTTGTTTTTCTTATACTGAGCCTTTACACCTAAATCAAAGGATTGCTTTGTTGTTTTCAAGAATTCCTTCAAACCTGTTTTTTCCCATAAGGAGAACTCTTTCACTGGGGGAATTCTGAATTTTATATAAGGTAGAGTCATTTCAGGAATTGTTAATGGGCTGTTTAGGAAATCCAGGTTGGCTTCTCCACTCATTCCTATGTGGGCCTCGGTGCTGTTCTCATTGTTTCCAGCAGAGAAACTTTGATTGTACTTATACTGATTGAACCTGGCACTGGCTTGCCAACTTGCCTGCTGGGCATTAGGACTCAGGAAGAGTGCATAATTATTCAGGAAGTCTATTTTCCCTGTCAATTTTAATGGAAAACTAACTTTCAGATTTCCTTCATTGTTTGTAGATGCAGTAACCTCAAATGGAGTTGCTAAGAAGGACAGAGAATTTTTCAAAGTTCCACTAAGTTTTCCATTTAAATGAGCATCATGGTTGCCAGTTACCTCTACCTTCCTTTCTCTAAGCAGTGCTGCGCCTTTAGCAGTGAGAACACTGTCGCCCACATGCTGGGATTCAACTTGTGACTGGACCTCCAATTGATAAAGGTTGAGAAAGCTGGATTCATAAGCCAAGGTTTGGTTTACTCTCAGGTGTTTGCTATTGATCTTATTAGACAATTCAAAGGCAGTGAGGGGGCCTGTCACAGTGAAGCTAATTTTTGATTCATGTGTTCCCTCATCTGAGAATTTAGGGCAGGCCCATTTCCATGATCCTGTCCCAGAAGAAGTCCATGCGACATGCTGAGCTTCAAACTGGGTCTTGATTTCATTGTGTAGGTCAGCCTGACTGGAGAAGTCCAGTTTGGGGATGTTCAATTTGTGAAAGTACTTGGTGTTGCTGTCCAACGTAATCTGGTTCTTTATCTTGATGACCACACCATTACTAAGCTCCACTGTATTTTTTTCTGTGTGTAAACCTGCCACTGTGTTTGATTTTCCCTCAATAGCATTTCCAAAAAATAGCACTTCGCTCTTATGCTCTGTTTTCAGGTACTTGCTGGAGAAACTCACAGATTCCTTCAGAACGTGTGGATTCGTCTTAGGGTATGAAAGTTGTGCATGTGCCTGGAGATTGAATTTGAGGGCTTCTAACTTGGAGTCTCCTTTGGCAGTGATGGAAGCCGTAATCCCTGACTCGTTCATTGACGTCGTTACATTGTGAACGTCGGCATTCGCATCTAACGTGAAAAGGGGAGATTGGATTTTCAAAATGCTATGCAGCTTGCCAAAAGTAGGTACTCCGATTGTGTGTGAAATGTTGGGAAGCTGGAATTCTGGTATGTGGAGGTCAGGAACTTGAAAATCTTTGAGGTCAAGTTTTGGGATTAAGAATTCTGGAATTGTGATTTCTGGTACGTGGAAGTCTGGCAGCGTGATTCTAGCAAGAATGGTGTCCACGTCCATCAGATCCCTCAGGTACAGTTCTGGAACTGGCCACTGCAGCTCACTGTTCAGCATCTGGTCAATGATTCTGATGATCTTTGCTTTTATTTCTACCAAGTCGATTGTAAAGGAAGGAATGTGGAAGGTGTTGAGGACAGTAAATTCTGGTGTGGAAAACCTGGGTGGGACTTTTACATCTTCTAACTTTTTGAAGTTTATCTGAACCGATGGAATCTTCAAATCTGTTAGAGGGACTGTGAACTCAGGAGTCTGATAGGTAGCTTCCTGAAGGACACGGAGACTGACTTCAAGGGCAGGTATGGTCCCAAAAGTGGTCTGGATTTCAGGCACAGTGAACCCTTCTTCTACCAGTGCTTTCAGCTTTTCAGCCCAGCCTTGGATAGAATACTGTTCTGCAAAGTCGGTAAGGCTCTTAGCAGCAAGACTCCACACGTCAGAAATGTAAGTAACAAGTGTGTTGTAAATTTGGCCTACCAGGACCAGGTATCCCTGAACTTTCTGTTGAAGGTCCATTTGATACACTGAGGCTCGTACATCTTCTAGGAATTTGACTTTCATGTCATTTAAAGATGATGAACTTAAAGCCTCCTGTAACCAATCAATGAATAGGGTTATTTTGGTGCTGTTTAGTTTTTCCAGATGGACGGAGACCATGGCCTTGACGTCCTCTACAAACAGTTTTAGAGCTTTAGCTTTTTGTGGAAGGCCCAGGGCCTGGATCTCATCATTGATTCTCTGAGTCACCTCGCTGATTTTGACATTGGTTTTCTCTACAAACTGTTGGTAACAGAATGACCTTAATTTCTTTATCACCATGCCAAGGAACCTGTTGACGTCTTCAATGAATTTTTGAAAAGACAATGCTTTAAGCTGGGTGACAGCATCATCAATAAACCCAACCAATTTCTCAAAGTGATCTTCTATCCCAATTTGTTTTAAGACATTGCCCAAATTCTGAACAGTCTCCTTCAACTTATACTTGTGGGCCAACTGTACTGATTTATCCAGTAAAATCTTGATGTGTTGGTCTATTTCATACATATTAATTAACTTGTCAACCATGGCTCTCAATGCACTGATTTTCTCAGCTACTTCAAAGTCATCAATGAGATTTTTAACATAGTGTTTGATATGTTCAATCAGTTGCTTTATTTTTTGAAATGGAATTTTAGTTCTCAACGGATCTAAAAGCACTGTGACATTAATAGCGACAATCTGTTGTTTTAACTTTTCTGCAAGGTGCTGGATGTCAATATTCTGGATTTGTGTCTGGAGCTGTTGCAATGTTTCTTGTATCCGGAATCTGATTTGATACTTAGCAGTCACATTTTGAACCCAAGATAGTGTATTACTTCCCATTTCGTTTACATCAATCTTTTCAATAAACAAATGTAAGTCATGGATTGTTTTTACTAAATTTACACGGATATGATAATGTTCATCAAGACTTTTCAATTTTTCAACGATTAGATCAATAATCTTAGCAATAGCTGTTTTAAAATCATGCAAATCATAATTATCTTTAATATACTGATCAACTTGTATCATATATGTTTGTAGTTGAGATAGTTTTTCATTGACATTGATTTGGGCATTGTCCAATGCAATTTTTAGATCATTTTCTGTAATTCCATAATTTTTTGTGAAAGCAGTTAGTTTCTCCTTGACGCTTGAAACTCGTTTCTCCCAACTGACTTCATTCAGCTGGTCGTTCATTTGCTGTGAGAGTTTGTCCAAGGCTGCTCTGTATTTCCTCATGAACTGATCGACATTGATATGTTTCAGTTCTGTCTGTATGGTTTCCAGCGCAGTTACAATTACTGTTCGACCCTTCTCAAAATGTTCTGGCAGGAGGTGAACGAATGGGAGGTCGATAGTGTGAACATCTTGGTTCTTATCATATTTTACAGAAGCTACCATAGTGAATTCCTGGGGCTGGTCCACAGTATCCCTCATCTCCAAAACATCGATTACATTGATAGGACCATCGGCTAAATAAGGCACTTCAATCGGGGAGTCTAGCACGGTGAGGTCAGCCAGGGCTCGCCCAGTAAGCTCCACACCCACTTTGTCTTTCGTATTGTAAGCATCAAACTCGTGGCTGTATTCATTTTTGTTCAGTTGGGTCTTGAGTTTCCAGGTGGCTGTCTGCTCAGCTGGAGTGAGCAGGGCACTGGCCTTGTGATCAAGAGCGGTACTAATGCTCCTTCTGGACCTGAGATGGTGACCTGTGGATCCTTTGTAATCATGAGAGAAAGTCAGGGCCAGCGGTTCCGCCTTCAGGAGGAATTTACTGTACAGCTGCCCGCTGTGTTCTCCCCAGAGAACCAGTTTCCCGTTGCCGCTTGTATGGGTGTCGATGGTCACCATAAACGGGGCCATGGCGGACTGGAAAACGTTGCTGAAGCGCAGCGCCTCTGAATTGTAGTTTGTGCTGATGTCCAAGGCCGAAGATAGCCCGGCGATGTCCGCGCTGAGCCTGTGGCTGAACTCGGCGCCCTGCACCTTCGCGGTAGTGTCTGCTTTGAAACTGGCCGACAGGTCTGCGTAAGAGACGGTGTAGACGTGTTTTATCTCGTCATTTTGGTAGGCTCCTTTTATGTTCCCGCCCACGTTCAGCTTCAGGGGTTCCAGCCGTAATTTCCCGTGGTTGGTCAGGTCCAGAGCGTTGAATTTCAGGTCATTGTTTAGAGTAGTTACAAGAGAAAAGGGCTGTAGCTGTAAGTTAAAAGTCTGCTTATATGACTTGTCGGAACTATAGATGTTGTCGAGTTTCGATGAGAAGTCCAGCGAGAGCCCCGCCACGTTCAGGCTGTTTGTGTGGTGAAGCTTCATCTCCGCGTACGAGCCCATCATGTCATTCGAAAGCTTGAGTCCCTCCCCGTTAACCCTGAAGCTGAAAATGTTTTTGCTGTCGACGCCCAGAATCACGGCCTGGTACGCGCTCCCCAGGGACACCTCCGTGAGGGCAGCTTTCCCATCCAGACTGAACTTCGCGTTGTGCTCCCTGAAGCGGCCGTTGGCTGTTAACTTCGCGGACGCCCCCGAGGGCCCAAGGGCTGCGTTCAGTTCGTTCTCCAGCGTCAGGGGACTGTACTTCAAGCTGGTGGTCGCGCTGGTGGACATGCCCTCTCGGGAGATCCTCAGGGTTGCTTTGTGAACGCCCGTGTTGGCTTTGCCGGTGCCCGACACGTCGGCGTTGATTTCGAGGCCGTGGAAGGTCAGCGACCCGGACAGCAGTGCGGAGACGCGCAGGTCCCTGTAGCCGGCCTGGCAGTCGGAGCGCAGCAGCGCGCTTTGCCTCGAGAGGGACAGGTCCACCTTGTTGGAGGTGGCGAAGTCCTCGTAGTGCCCGTCCGTGTCAGATTTCAGACTCAGCTCATAGTTCTCGTACTTCAGGGAGGCGGTATTTTTAACGGTGCCCTCTTGCAGATCCGAGGTGGAGGTGAGGGAGAAGGTGCCATCCTCGTACCTGCCCGTTATCCGGTTGGTGCCCTGGAGGTAGGTGGAGTTAAACCTCAGGGTGGACTCTCCGCTTCGCCGGCCAGTGGAAGGGTCCCTTTGATAGGACAGGCCGTAGGCGCCGTCCGCGTGGAAAGAAAAGACCCTGAGCTGCCCGTCGACCTTCACTTCCTTGACGTACAGCTGCTCTTTCTGCTTTGAGTCCAAATGTACCGACGCGGACATCCGTGGTCCCCAGGCACTGGCTGCGTCGAATGTCAGCAAGCCTTTGGAGGCTGGGTTGTTTCCAATCTTTTCCACGTGGCTGAGTTTGACGTTCGAGTCCAGAAATTTGTGGTGTAGAGATCCTCCGCACGATAACGTGAGCGTGTACCTGTGGTCGAACGTTGCTTCTCCGGATCCTAACATAAAAATGAAATCCCATTGGTTAAATTGGGCGACACATTTCCAGGCAACCAATTTCTATGTTGTAAGATTTTCAATAATAAAGCCCCGTTGATCTGGGTCAACTGCGTAACAGTCTCCTCCATCTACAACAGAAACATAAAACCTGAGAGCAGAAAGTATTCCTACAGGAAGCCTTCCCTGACCACGACGGACCTTGCCGGGTTCCCTTAGTAAGCGCTTCCTCTGTACCCTATACTTATACACGATACCCTCTCCTAGTACCTCTTACACTGAACTATAGTTGCCAGTTTACCTGTCTGTTTTCTCTGTTACTGCCTCGCGGAACACTTGATATATTTGGTATGTTTCATAAATGTTCCTATTGGTTGAATGCATGAAAAACTGAATAGAAATCCAAGTAGCAAGAAAAATATCTGTAAGAAAGCCCAAGTCTTTGTCTCCCTGGAGGAGGCTATGCCATCGGAGCCTGCAAAACCCAGCCCTGTGCACCCTCTGCCTGAGCACGGCTCACCTTGCACACTGTAGGACAGCAGGTCAACCGCCGAGTCGGCTTTCATGTGGTACCGAGCCTGAAGGCTGAAGTGGTCTGTGCTGGTGTTGCCGGCGGTGTAGGAGGCGGACCAGTTGTACACGTTGCTGTAGATGTTCGCGGAGAGGTCTAGAACGCCCAAGTGAGGCACCCGCAGCTCATACGACTCGGGAATGGTGAAAGCGGGCACCTGGACCTCTTGAGGTGGCCGGTAGAATCCCCAAAATGGTAAGCCGATGGCTGGTATCCAGATAGTCTCCAACATCTTCAGGTCTTTGGAGGGTGTGCCGCCCAAAGGCAAAGGAATCTCAATTTTCACGCTGTTCTTGTTGAAGGTGTATCTGACCCGGCCATCACTGAAATAGAGAACAAAGACAACGTCCCCACAGTCGGACATCAAGAACTCAAAATTCCCGGCCACCTGCCCTTCCAAGCGACAGTGCGGGCGCCCCGTTCCCAAACCCATCCTCACGTTTCCTCGTGCTGCTCCGGGCGCCTGGATCCCTCTGCTGTTACCTCCACCTATCCAGCCCTCACATCCATTCCAAACCCTTCCAAGGCGTTTAAGTCACAGCTAATTTCTCTTGTGCCGAGAGTGACACAGTCCCTCACACCTATCTCAACGACATGTCCTAACTCTGCTTAGATAATTAGAGCTCGTTTGCTCACACTTTGTCCGTGTCTACACGGCATCTTCCTGGGAGGAAAGGTGACCGTTTTTTCTTCTCACTGCACCTCGTCTAACATCTTGCACGTAGGGGACACTTGATACGTTTGCTAAACTGAATTCAAGCAACTAGACAGGCAGAAAGGACCCGGGCGCGGGATGGAGTGTTAGCCCCTCCTGATGGTGGAAGTGTCAGTGAATTCACTTTTCTGAGTCGCCGTGAGGACCATAGTGCCCGTTCTGCTGACCTCACGGAGTTAAACTGCACGTGAGAAAAATACCTAAACAAGTTTGCAGTCTTTTCAGTGCTACCCACATATCATGGACTATTGTATTAGAATAAGTTATAAGAATAAGAGAGGGTGGCAGAGTTTTAAATTCTGTAAGTAAATCAACTGTTCGCTGCGTTATTGCAACAGGGACTGGGTGTGGCCCACGCAGGGTCCTGACATCCAGGAGGAGAAGGGTGCTTGGTAAGACCTCGATGATGCTAAGGCCGGGGGTCCTGCCCTCTCAGTGCAGCACAAAGGACACTGCTGGTCAGAGGCCCTAGTGTGAAGCAAGCGGCTCCCGGCCCTCTGCCCCTGCCGCCTCATCTTCATCTTCAACAGGCCCGTCCGTGCGAGGGCTTCGGCAGAAGCCAGTCCTTTCGCACTTGTCTGGCCGATTGAACTTTGCTGCTCAGCCGCGGACTAGGGAAAGGCCCACGTGACGCAGGCCACTTGTCTTCCTGACCCTGGAGATCTCACAGGCAACAGTCCCTCTAGGAAAGACCATTGTCTTTACAGCTCAGGCTCTGATTTTTTTTAAAATTCCATGAAATAAAGCAAAGCATTACGTGTATTTCCGTACATATGCAAGTGGCCCGAGCGGTGTGGAGCCTGACTCCCCCCTGAGGATGGAGCTATAGGGCTAAAGAGAAGCGTTTTCTGGGCTGCTGCCTTCATCCACTGTGCGGTGACTGCTGCGGCCCCCGGCGCTCGACGGCAGCCCTGTGGTCAGCAGTTCCGCTGGTCACTCTAGAGCCCTTCGCAGTCAGACAGTTGTGGGTGTGAGCATCCCGATCCTGAGCAAAGGCGGGTTCACTTACGGGGGAAATGGAGTGGCCGGATAAAGCATGTTAGGTGACGGTGCTAGAATCCTCCACTCTTCCTTAGGCTCTTTCTGACGGGTTGGCATTCACATTCCGATCTCGTGTTCAGTAATGCAAAAATGCCACGGTGTTTATCTACGGTTATTAATCTCCTTAAAATGCTTTAGATATTTCGCTTCAAAATGTGAATTAGAGTCTAAACCATGCTATGTAAAATCTCCCATTTACTTTGTGCGGTTCAAAAAGTCTTTCTATTTACAATAATAGCCAAGATCTGGAAACAGCCCAAGTGCCCATCAGTAGATGAGTGGGTAAAAAAGCCGTGGGACATTCACACCATGGAATACTAGGCGGCTGTGAAAAAGAAGGATCCCTTACCCTTTGTGAAAGCAGGGATGGACCTAGAGATTATTATGCTGAGTGAAATAAGCCAGTCAGAGAAAGACAAACATCGCATGCTCTCACTTATATGTGGAATCTAATGAACATCATAAACTGATGAACAGACTAGGCCCCGCGGCATGGATGCCGGGAACAGACTGACAGCTCTCAGAGCGGGCGGGGAGGCAGGGAGAGATTAACCAGGGAATTTATATGCCTACATGCATAGCCCAAGGAGACAGACAATAGTGTGGTTGATGCCTGGGGTGGGGCAGGGGCTGGGTGGAGGGGGGCAAAGTGGGGGCAGAAAATGAGGAACACCTATAACACTGTCAACAATAAAAAAAAAGGATTTTTTTTTTTCTGGTTTCTTTTTATACCTTTTCAAGAAGAGATTTTCTGGGATGTGGAACTCTGGCAATCCCATCTTCTGGAGGTTCAACTCTTTTAGGCCACTGAGGTAATCTTGCAAATTCTTGGTGTAAGGAAGAGTCCTGGATGCCTTCTGAAGCCAAGTGTTTGTTGCCTACAAAATAATAGAAATTTTCAGATTTCAATGGGCATAGGTGGACCTCAAGGTACAATTAACATTAGGCAACAATCCATATTTGAAAGATCAATAGCTAAGCAGGAGAATGCACTGAAAGTTAAAAATATAGCACAGAAAATTCTGAATTGTTGGTTGTCAGTCATGCATCGCTTCCTGTTTTTTATTAAGGGAACATGTAACATCGTCAGACTCCTAGCCAGTATCCTGAAGCTTCCTTTGACATCTCAGTCACAGCAAACGCTTCCGCTTAGTAGTATATTCATTTGGCACTAGCATATACAGCCTTGTGTAACTGGGTAACCACACGTGAATGTTTCCTTTCTCCCCAGAAATTCCCTGGGGGTAGGAAGCACGCCGTATCCATCTCTGGATCCCCTCCTTCACCTCACTCAGGGTCGAGTGTGTAATTAGCACTTATAACCACGTATTTATTGACTGATTTGTACTTACATCCACCAATTTGGAACCCACGTGCCGGAAAGTCACGTCTGTTTTAGGAACTCTGTGATCCAAGAGACTGTTGGCATACGTTTGCAAGCTTTTAGGATAGTCAGGGAGGTCCACGGGGAAACTGGAAGCTGCTTTCTTGGTATCCATGTTGGTGCCTGTGTTCCATTCAAATTCAGTCTTCTCTTCATCTGAAAACACACACATGAAAGAGCTGTCAGAGGTACCAGGTCAGCGCCGAACCAATGGCCCTCCACACGGCACTCAAGGGCAGAGCGCCTTGGAAGCGGCCCTGGGGGAAGGGTACGCACCGTAACGCCAGGCCATCTTGTTGGAAACTGTTGAGCCATAAGCTGTAGCGGATGAGTCCATTTGGAGGAGCAGTTTTGTGGGGGACCACTGGGCGAGGGTTTCGCTTCTGGCTTCTGCTTGCAAGAGGGGCATGGAAAGAACAGCTCTGACTTTACCTTCTTCCTTCCTGTCACAGCTGTTGAAAAGAAAATCAGTTGACATTGGCGCCTTTGTCCATTCCAAGGAGATACGTGGGATTAAGCAGAAGTTCTGCTTGTGGCAACGAAGATAAATTAACGGATGGCTCAGAGAAACGGCCGCAGATTAAACTCATCAGCGTCTGCAGTCAACTTCTGCACAAATTCAGGACTTTCTGGGGAAGTATGGGAGGAAAACTGGACGCTGCTCTACCCTTTACCAGCTCCTTTGTCTTGGCCAAATTATTTAACCCCTCTGAGCTCCAGGCTCCTTATAAATAAAACAGGGAAACTCCTACCTACCTTGGAGTTTATTTACAAAGACTAAGACGATTTCTTTAAAGCACCCAGCACAGTGCCTAAGGAATAGTCAGTGCCCAGTTAATGGTAGAAGGATCTAACTGGACATGTGCAGAGGGTCAGAATGTTGAGGGCTCTGTCTGTCTCTCAGGCTGCGGACCAGGAATGCCCCGCCTGGTCGGCTTTTAAAAGCTGCAAAGGAAGACAGGAAACAGGCAGGAGGGCAGAAGCTCAGGTCAGGTCACCCTTAGCCTTCCTTACCTCACGTGGCCCATGAAGGCGACCTCAGTGATTTTCTTGTTCTGAATGTCCAGGGTGAGTTTGTAAGACATTTCTTCCTCAGAAGATTCATCACTAACCCTGAGGACTGTCCCAAGGTCAACGCCGAAGTCTGGAATTTGTGCTTCACTGGTCAAGGTCCTGGTCTGATGGTTGTATCTGACGGTCATCCTGGCCTCGGTCTGCTCTACACCTGGAGGAACGTACGAGATCATCAACACGTGTCTTCAGAAGCTGGTTTAGGAAGGAAAGGGAGGAAAAGCTGGAGGAACACCAAGTACTCTGGGGGCTTAAATGGGGACACACTGCAGGATTTTACCCTAATTTTTTAACTCAGTGGTGCTCATGTGCTTGCTCAATCTGCAAATATTTATTGATTGCCTATCATGGGTTAGGCACTGCTCTTGGCACTGGGGGGAGTGGGGTGCGGTCCCTGCCCTCATGGAGCTTACATCCTAGTAGGGGAGTATAGACAATAAACAGGCAAGTTATTTATGTCAGATGGTAAATAATGTTCTGAAGAAACTACAACTGGATAAGACAATAAAGTTAGAAAGGAATACAAGAGGTGCTATTTCATCCGTGGTGGTCAGAGAAGGTTTCCCTGATGAGGGGATATTTGGGCAGAGACTTGCATGAATAGAAGGGCTGAGCCATGGTACGTTCTGGAAGGAGAGCATTCCAGGCCGTGGGAATCAGAAATACAAAGGACCTGCTGCGGGGAGCGCTCGGCATGTTCAGGGGGCAGTAAGGGCTCGAGGTCCTTCTGTGTCGGGCAGATGAGGCATCTCTACATGACTCTCCACCAATGACACTCCTCCAGGTTCCTTGCCTCCCCCCAGCCCCTGCTCCATCTCTCCCAGCTCCTCTCTCTGTAACCAGGTTCCCATGTTTTCTTACAGGCTTACCTATTTTATGCCTTTTGTAAAATTGTTATATATATTTTTTCCAGCATGCACCCTGTGGATTTCTCGTATGGATTTGTTTCTCTAGCTTAATCTGGTGACACACTATTCCTACATAAAAAAAATCTTTGGACGTGAACATCTAAATTTGCCCCATCCCCTAAAACCCGCTCCTCTAGTGGCCTTTTCCATCTCAGGAAACGGCAACCCCATTCTTCAGCCGCGGGGCCGAGGAACTTACCGTGGTCCCCATTCCTTTCTCCCTTGCACTCAACACCCACTATATCAGCAGCTCTTGTCAGCCTAGCCTTCAAAGGATGGCCGGAGTCCAGCCGCGTCTCGGCTCCCTTCGCCACTGCTCTAATCCAGAGCCCCACCACCTTTGGCTTGGATTATTGCCATAAACTCCGTACTAATTTCTCTGCCTTTGTGCCCCGAAAGCCTTTCCTCAGCATAACCATAAATCAAATCATGAAAACCCTCCAGCGGTTCTTTATTTCACTTACTAAAAGCCGACGTCCTTACCAAAACCTATGAGACTATCCTTCCCCCACCTCCCCTCGTCATTCTGACCTCACCTTCTACCGTTTTCCTCCCTGCTCTCTCTGCTTTAGCCATACTGGCTCCCTTCCTTCTGCTCACACACAGCAGCTGTACACCTGCCTCAGGGCCTTTGTACCTGCTGGCTCCGCAGCCTGTAGGGCTCTTGCCTCCTGGCGTACCCCATTACTTCTTGCAAGTCTCTCTTTCACGCTCCCTCCAGCAGCGAGGCTGGATCATTCGAAGCGGCACTGCCTCCCCTCTTCCTTCCTGCTCCCTCCACCCCCGGCATTCTCAGGACTCCTCTGTGCCCTATTTTTCTCCTCAGCACCAATGTGACCCTCTAAAAATTTACTTGTTTGGATATTTACTATAAACTCTGGGAGGGCAGACACAGTCTCCTCTGTTTACTGTTCCAGCCTCAGCTCTTAGAATACAGGCCTGACCCTTACCAGGCACTCAGCACACAGTTGTTACACGCATTACCTAAAGATGTCCCCGCTGTGAGTTCTGGAGCCGAGACTGAGGGTAGAGGTGGGGGAGCCCTTTTTCTGGATACTTGCCTTCTGCCTGAGCTACTAACTCCAGCTTGTGCACCCAGGCCTCGTCCTGTTTCTGGAGCTCGTAGGTTGCGCTGGTGGAGTACTGCTCCACCTCTCCCGTAGGCCGCAGTTCCAGCTCATACCTAAAGATGCTGCGATGCACGCAGGGAGTGGTGTTAGAGCTTTCCCCGAGGGCGAGAGCGTCAGCAAAGCAACTCAGCCTCGACGGCACCAAAAACACGGTCCTTATTTTAACATTGACCCTTCTCCTTAACTAATGATGAGCTCTACGGTCCCTTTCAGTTCTCCCAAGAGCCCAAGGCAAGGGCAGAGCCCAGGATCCCCAGGGGTTGCTGGTTGTGTCAGCAAAGCTGAGAACAAGCGGTGGAAGTGGGGGAATGGGACGCTGACGACAAGTTGCTTTTAAGCATGGTGAGGGCTTTGGACACCAGTGGACTCCAGGAAAGGCCATACCAGCGTGTCTGGAGGCTCAGAAACACGGACCCTGAGTTAGAAGCAAACCGGAGTCTGTGCTCTGATCCCCTCATCTAATGCATAAGGTGAAAGAGGGGGGCACAATCTATAAAGAAATGCTTTTAAAAGACTGATTCTCAATGGCAGTGGGCTCAGGTCCCTTGGGCGAGTATGAGAGAATCAACTTGGCTACTTATTTTTGGGCTAAGGCCTCCCTCAGTGGTCATGACTCCTCACCTTCCAACACTGCCACTCCCCTCCCCCCGTGGAGGAGCCCAGTCCTAGACCCAAAGTTTAGGCAGGAATTTCTGTATCCCTCAGGTGTGCTGGGTAGAGGACCACTGTTTAAATAATGATGATGCAACCCCCTGAGGCTGGTGACCCAGGCCTACAACACACAGCATTTTTTCCTTTGCCCCGCTAGGTGGCCACAATGTAGAAGGTAAGCAGATGCTGGGAGGGTCAGTGAGCATGTCTGACCTGATGTCTCCGATCAGAGGATAGTAGGAGCTGACGTTGGAGTAAGTGCCTGTGGTGCAATAGCTCAGGCCGGAGAAGAAAGACCTGCAGGTTGACCAGGAATTCCTGTTCTCCGTTAGAGGTGGAGCCACTTCCGTTTTGGTGGTAGAGACCAAATGCAATGAGTTACTAGGGAGGAAAGAAAACTCCTGAGTTGTCTTCAAGTCATGAATCGCAGTGAACGTCACTGACTCTCGCAGTGCAAATGCCCCCTTACCCTGCCCTCTATCCCCCCCCGTCCACACACACCTCAATTTTTTTTATTTACTCAGAAACAAATCATAGTGAGAAGAACATCAATGAGGCTAACAATCACAGTGACTCTAGGTTTCAGACGCTGCACTAAGTTCCTTACATTTGTTATCTGTAGTCCGCACAATGGTGGGCATTTTTAGGGGCCTAATTTTACACTGGAAACAGAGGCTCAGAGGTGTTAAGTAACCATGGCTGGGACCTGACCTCAGGTCGGGGAAACTGTAATTATTTAGGTTAAAAGTGGGTGATCTAGTACCTTTTCTCCCTCTGTCACCCCAGATCCACTGGGGCCAGAACGATCTCAATTAGCTGTCTAGCCCGGCCAAGTCCTGCAGATACAGCCTCCATCCTCTTTCACACTGGCCGGGTGGAGTTAACTGGAAGAATTACCTGACACTGAGGAGCTTGACTGGCCTCGTTGGAGCTGGAATGCTGAACTTCAGACGCCCAGAGTTTAGGGCGAGTCGCGCCTCCAGGTCTGTCTCATGGAAGAAGTTCATGTTCACCTGGACCCCGTTCCTAGCAAAGTCTGGGATGACGATGCCCATATTTGTCACAAACTCCACAGACACGGAGGGCTTTGCCACCAGTTCCATTTGCCTGGCCTGTAAGTCAGAAAATGACTTATTCAGCTTGGTTAAGTACCTTGGTCCCCTGCGGCCGGATCATCCCCCTTCCCACCCCTGGGCCCACATGTCTGCAGAGCTCACATCTCGGGAAACATGACTGTGATTTATTTGAAGGCACAAAAGCCAAGTTCTCAGTTCTCCAGGGTCCTTAACGCTGATACCGAGGACTAGGGAGTGCCCACGTTAACTTTAAGCACAAGATAAAAATATGACAGGAATCCTCATGTGCTGAAAGAGTAGCTGAGTTCCCATGTGACCCCCGCGCCCCGTGGGAGCTAGTGAGGTGGCGCCTCCTAGTGGAACCCTTGCGCTTTTCATTCAAAAAGGAACCAGGGGATTCTATCAATGAGGCGCCTCATCTTGAACTGGAAACTCACTGGAAAACTGCACAAGGGCACCACCCAGGAGGAAAGGAACAGCCGGAGGAGCCAAAAGGTGAACAGAGTCTTACATCTCTGAGTTGCAGTTTCACCCCAGCCTGGATTCCGGGAGCGATGACTCCAGAGGAGGACACTTGCAGCTGTAACCCGAGTCCGGTGGGGAGTTCAAAGTTGTTGTCCATGAAGATGTAGTGCAGAAACAAGTCGTTCTTTGAACCTTTCCTTAGGGCCTCTTCAATCTGTAGATCCAACGGGGGAGACTCACTAACTGTCAGGCCCATGGAAGCGGGCTTCGTGAAATGCTCCCTCCCACCCATCAGTCATCTTCTTTATCCAGAAAGGAAGGGTCTAGCATACTTAAGTTTGCTGAATAGTTTAATAAGTCAACATGAATGATAACTGATTTCAACACAGTGGAATACAAAACATTGCCCTGGATAGATATATCGTTTTCAACTGGCGACTCGGAAGGCATTTCAGACTATTGCTGGGCCTCAGAGCTTTCAGAATCTGAAGTCTCATTGCATGGCCTGGCTTCATTCTGGTTTTTTGGAGTCTAAATGTAAATGAAGATTTACTTGAAATACAATATATTACGATGAAGCTAATTTTTTGAAACCCACGAGTTATTGAGATGTACATATTAGTATGCACTGGCTTTTGTTTGTTTTTCTTTTTAAGGACATATCTAGAAAACAACTTGAGGTGTTTTCTTAAAGCAAACATTATTATTTATTAAATCCTAGAGATTAAGTGTCCTTATTTCCTCCCTTCTTAATAAACTAATAAAAACAATGGCTCATATTTAGATAGTAGATGACAGCTTACCAAATGCATTCTTTCATAATCATTACATCATTTCAATATTAAAACAATCCTGTAGCCTAGGTGGAGGGAGACACACTTAACATTGTTTTCTAGGTGAACAAATGAATGCTCTTGAAAGATACATCGAACAGTATGAAGAGCTTAATTTCTAAATGTTGCCAATTCCTTGTGATCCTTCTTCACTAAAATTCAAGGCAAACCTGTGTCTTTGAAGAAAGTATAAGCACTTTTGCTGGTTTGTGTGGCCAGCATCTTCAGGGAGCCTGAGAGATCTAAGAAAGAGCACAGGCCAATCTCATCACCCGTGATGGGGCCGGGCCCACTTACCATCCGGGGGATCCCACTCAGACTACGGACACCATTCAGGAGCAGCCTTCCCAGGAGCTGGAGGTCGTGGAGCCTGACGAAGCCAAGCTCTTCTCCTAAGATGCGGAGGTAGGCTCTGGCTTCTGGGATTTCTTTGGATTTCAAATCTTCTATCAGCTTCTCAACATTGAGCCTGATTCCATTGACCATGTCCTGGGATTTTAACAACAAAATATCTAGTGAGATGTCAGCGCTGCCAAACACCCTTAGGTTTCTGACGCGGGGTCTGTCTGCTGCAGCTGTGATGGACCTAAACACAGACCCTCTGGGTGGGGATACAGGGCAGACACTGAAATCAGGCTCTCACCTGTTATTGAAAGATAAAGAGCTTCTCCAAATTGAGATGAAAAAAAAAAAACCTGAGGTTTTGTCAGGGACAGCGGTGCCCACTCTGCTCTTAACTTGAATAATGTTTGCATGGGAAGGGGGTCTCTATTTTCCAGGATGGCAGGATTCCTATGGCTCCCCAAGATGAGAAGACCCTCTGTCTCCCACCCCGTCCCCTGCTTACACCCTCTCTCCTTTGACTAGGATAGAATAGTAAGGGTTTCTTGGGAAAATTAGCTGCCAAATAAATTGGCCAAAAGCTTGAAAAACACCTGATGCTTGACAAGTTTTTAGTGATTGGAAGAATTCCATAGGCTGATGCTTAGGGAGTGAGAGAGAAAAGAGTGACTGACAGACCCCCAAAATAGATTAGAAGATGCAGGTGGGGCCCTCTGCGAGCACCTAGGAGGAACCTCTGCCCTGCAAGTCACCTGGGGGCCTCCTTAAAGTGCGGGTTCAGATTCAGTAAATCCCAGTAGGGCTTGAGGACCTGCATTTCTAACAAGCTCTGATGGGATGCCCGTGACTGGACCACACTCTGGGTAGCAAGAAGTTAAAGACTAGGAAGCTCCAGATTAGACAATCCATTTCCTACTCCTTCAGTGGGGCTTTTGCTAGCTGCAAAGTGGATTTTGCTTTCATTAGCTATTGCCCTGATGTGAGTGAGAGCCAAAGAAAGAAGTTAAAAATAATGAAAATAGGAATTAAAAAATTATAATGGTATCTGCTTATTGAACAATCAGTACCAGGGTCGGGCACTCTGCTTAATGTTTTAAACACTTTATTTCCCCTAGTCTTTAATAACCTTGTGAGGTATGGGTTATTATTAGTGCTCTGCGGATGCAGAAACAGGTAGACATCAGAGCAAGCAACATGCCCGGAGCAGTGAGGTTAGAATTCAAACCCATGCCCCAGAGTTCACACTCTTATCAGTAGGCCTCAGTGCCTCTAACGGGTCTGGTTCCTGGGCACGCTGAGTCTCCAGGAGGCCCATAACCGCAGGGATACTGGTTTTTACGTTCGTAGGACTGATTAATGAAAGTCGTAGCTGTCCACTTCAGTTAAATAGTTCCTTGATTACTTCCAGGCTTAGATGAGAATGATTTTGCACTGAGACCCAGAGCTTTCCTCGAGAGGATACTTAACAGACACATACCTGCTCCCGTTTTTCATCGTTGCTGTAGCCAAAGTGGTCCACCAGGACCTTGGAGACACGATCAGGAACTTTACCATCAACCCAGTACAGAGCCTGGTTGACACTGTCTGGGAAAAATCCTTGCTTCCCGAAGAGAGCCTCCAGCGTTGGCTCAAAGCCGTTTCCTTCCAAACCAAGCTGCGAAAGAAAATCAGGCAGGAACATGCGATCAGGTTTCCCGTGGTAGGTCAGCCTCCCAGCCCCCTTTCGGTCCATTTCATTAAACAAGTATTTGATGAATGCCGTGAGACAGGAACTGAGCCTGGCACTCCGCAGGAGTGGTCTTATTTAAATCTTAGCAGAATCTTGAAAGACAGAACTTATTATTTACCTTTTCCCAGAAGAGGCAGCTAAGGTTTAGAGAGGACAGATAATTCAACCAAAGATTCAGAGTTGGGAGTGTAATTGGAGTTTGAACCAGGTCTGTCTGGCTGCACATCCCATGCACGTCCTTGGATTTTGGGTCTAAGGGCTCTTCTGGGGACATCTGCATTTCCATTCATAAAAAGAACTCATCCTTCAGATGAGCCCCTAGCAGGGAGGCAGGGCGGGGTGGAGGGAAGAAAAAACCTTAAAGCGATTGTGCGGAACTAACGACCTGATGATTCTCGTTCCTGTCCCGGGTGGTTCATGGCTCTCTTGACTTTCTATTTATGGAGTAGAACAGAATGGGCTAGAAAACATAAGGCTCTCTTTGGCCTCACACTTACCTCGAAGAGATCAGCTGAAGCAAATCCAAAGACTGTGAGGGTTGTTTTCAGCATGCTTTCTTTAGGCAGGTAATTATCTGGATCAAATATAAGATTGCCCTCAACTTTGGCTGAGACTGGGTTGAGGGACGGAAGAGAAACAGATTTGGAAAACTGGTAGTTCCGGGAAAATTTTCTGAAGTCCAGGACAGTTGGAAGCTGAGAGTCCTTCAGAGCTTCTGTCACTAGCTCTTTCAAACTAGGTGGAAAAGAGTATATTTTGAGCCCACACATCATGTAACTTGTGCATCACCTCTCTCACCCCCAAGTAAAGATGGATTTTCAATTGCTACCAAATTCATGCATTCACCCCAAGAGTTTGGCTCAGGTCTGCTGGACTTTGGAACAAGTGTTTGTTCTGGAAGAAAGAATGCTCTAGAAAGAACAGGACAGATGGCTCAATCCAAATGAGATTTGGAATTTCAGCCCTTCATAACACGTGGGGGAAAATTACTCTGACTTACCCCTGGACGTACAATTCTTGTGAGTTTAAGATGTTGGCGATGTGGGAGGCCACAAAGTTCTTCACTTGTTCATTCTGTTCCCCTGGGAGAAGTTGGGTGATTTTGCTCATGTCTGACTGCGAAGGGTCCCTCATCAGCACGAGATAAGCAGCCAGTCGCTTATCCCCCGGAGCGGCGTCATCCAGGAAAGTCTGAAGGAGAACCTCCCGGACCTGGAGCCGAAAGAGGAGACTGTTACCACTGCCCTTTGGTCGAACACAGCACAAGCCTGGCAAACATTTGGGATGGTTTGCAAGCAATTTACTATGTGCAAGCTGAATTTCTCGTTAATAACTTCAAATGCTGGGACTGAATCTTCTTGCTCCCCAGAGCAACCGGCTCAAGGAAGGGTTCTCAGAAGACTCCTATCAAATGCATGTCCAATTCAATTTCATTAAAGTATGCAAGTCATGGCCAAGTTATGACTTGTTGGAGACCTGCCACTAACTGAAAGTAAAGTTGTTTTTAACATAAATTATTTCAATATGAGGGTAAAGGCGGAAAGGGAGAGTGAGAGTGGGGCTGATAAATAAGGTAGTGCCCAAAGATATGGAGCCATTGCCACCTAAGGTGGGGGCAGGTTGTCTATCCCAGATCAGGGAGATGAGGGAAAATCAGGCCTGTTCTCCTAAGATGAGAGTGGGCATGATGGGCGATCTGGTAGGAGGGCAGCCCGTGGTGAAAATCTCGGACTCTGCTTTCTGGAGCAGCAGCGAGGTCAGCGTTTCTCTCCTGTCCACATACTGCTGGGCAGTCAGGTCAACAGGCTTGTTGAGGACTTGCGGTTAGAATGCGGTAGAACTAAGCCCTCGGAATGACGGGATTTAGGATGCTATTCTGAACAGTTTTCCGTGTGAGGCCTCCCCTGCGGCCCTCACCTCGTCCTTAATCTCCATTTTCCGCAGGGCTTGGATGGCGGCCTTCTGGACCAGCAGGGACGGCGTGGCGCTCCGGACGCATCTCAAGACTGAAGATGTGAGTCCCGGGCTTAGCGGCTCCAGGATTCCGCCGATGTTCCCAATGACCTGCGAGGCGAAGCAGCCAGAAGGGATCAGGGTGCAGGAGGGGAAGGAAGAGGTGAGGAGGAAAAGTGCTTCCACAGTGATGCATATTATACGAAAGACGAAAGTACCCTCAGGATCAGGTAGGTGTGGTCTTCGCTCCCGGTGCAGTCGTCGCGGATCTGCTCTGACAGGTAATCGGCAATGTCCAGGAGCCCCTGCGTCGCTGTGGGGTGTGTCTTATGATAGCTGCGGAGTAAGAGTTAGGACTCAGTGAGCACGGCTAGGTTTATCTGAAAATCCACACTGGGTTGGCTGGTTTCTTATTTCAAGTCATTACCCTCAAACAGACCAGGAGAAAAACAAGAGAGTCAGCGTCAGAGTCTGAAAGTCGAGGAAGGAAGGGGACGATCTGAATACACAGAGGTGGGGGCTCCCTCGGCGCCTACGAGGGGAACCAGGGTACAACTCACTTGATGACCGCGTGACTCAGGGCATAGAAAGCAGCCCGGCTCTGCTGCTCCTTGGCCGTGGTAAAGATCTCCTGCAGCCTCTGGGCCGAGGGCTCCGGGATCAGCGCCACCAAATAGGTCACAACATCAATCAGAAGGGGGTTGGCTCTCTCGGTTCTCAGCCACTGGAGGATGTGATTGTAACACTGGGGCTGTCCGCACTGAACCAAGGCTTGCAAAGTGACGGGGCTGGGAAGGAAAGGGCAGAGAGGGTTGCACAGATCACCTCCGAGGCAGCTAGAGGCTCCCTGGCCCGTGATTTCCCCTCTGCCTTCATTCCCCTCATGCACTGTCCAAATCCAGCCATATTTCAAAATCCAACTCATATCCCAAGGACCATGATCCCGAGAACCAGAAAGTCTTCCCTCTGAGCTTTACCCACGGAAGAGGCCTGGTCTCGTCTCAGCCCTCGCTTTCTCCTCTGACCTTCACGGCACTAAGAGCCAGTGCCTCGAAGGATGCAGAAATCACGGTGTTGTTTTGTTTGCCTGAGTTCTCTCTCCACTAGTCTAGAGGCTTCCCAAAGGCCAGACTTTTCTGTCTCTCAAACCTTCTAGGGTAACACAACAAGGAATGAGAAGATACCCATCACAATGTGGGGAATATTTCCCTCTTATTTTAACACAAACACACACCTACGTATCTGCCTTGGATGCAACGTGTGTATGTGTGTGTGTGTTCCCCATGGAACTCTAGGCAGCTAGCTTGCTATTTAGCCAGCAAACATGAATTGACTAATTGACTGACTGGGTTGATATTTCAATGATCCCTGAGAGTCTCTGATGGGCCAAGGGTCAGCAGCTGCCGTAGGTTTATAACCTATGAAAGCCTGAGCTGCAGCCGTTAAAGAAATACCTGGACACCTCGACCAGCTTTGGCAAGAGGGCTGCGACCGCTTTGTCGTCGAGGCCTCGCAGCTCTGCGACCAGTTTACGGAAGAGGTTAGCTCGCTGGGCGCTCTGCTCAGAGACCTGCAGCTTCTGTAGCTCCTGGAGGGTCTTCACAATGGCCTCGGCCTGCTTTGGCGGTGGTGTGGACTTGGTGGTCTCAAAGGCAAGGCCCACCTCCTTGGTACCTGGAAGGAGGAAAGTGTCAAAGGAATTCTTGCTCACCTCTGCATCTCAATCCTATCTTGGTCTACTGGAAACTGGAAATCAGCGGGGTGTCAGCAAAGGGGGAAAGGAAAGAGCACTGTCCTGTACCCAGTGCCTGCTACGTACCTGGCTCTGTGCTAGGTGTGTGACTTCAATGTTTTCACCAACTCATTGTACTATCCCTGCGAGTATCAGTCCTCAACTTAAAGATAAGAGAACTAACACCCAGATTGGAGCGACTCGCCTTATCTGAGACCTGGTTGGGTCTGAGGCAGAGCTGGAGTGGAATCTAGGCTTGTTGGGATGTGGTATCAGATTATCTTTATCCGAAAGAACCACATCATGCTGCTGCTGATGTGGCCACAGCTGAGGCTCACCCATTGTTTCTTCCAGTTGAATCTAATAGCGGCTTGTGGGGGAGGGGAAGACCCCTCTGTGGTCCCTCTATTACCCTGCTCTGACCTGCTAGGGAGGGGGTGTTAATTCAGCGTGGACGCTTGTCGTATTGGAAAGAGTCCTGCCCTAGATTAGACCTGGGGCTCATTTTGTACCACCTCATACTCCATGACCTTGAGAACACCGCTAAGCCTCTCTGTGCCATTGTCCCTTCTGCAGAATGAATATAACAGCCCACGCTGTTACCACCTGACACCACAGGCTGCTGAGAGCCATGAGGTTTTGCATACAACACATTTAGATACAAGACAGATGCAGGGCTAGAGTAGGGCTTGAGATCTCTGAGGTCCCTTCCATCTCTAAAGCTGGATTCCTGACCTTGAAGACCCTCTGCCGCTTGCTCCAGGTCCCAGGCCTTATCACAGGGTGTATGAGGTTGTCAGATCTACAAAAGGTAGACTCAGGAGGCCAGTTCTCTACTTACAAAAACCTAGGTAGCTTTGGGAAACGTCTCCCTTTCCCATATGCCGTGGTCACTTTGACATTCTCAAATGACCATGCTTTCTCACTAGAGTAGCCCACAGCCAGAACACCGGGGCCCACTTAACTAATGAGTGAAGTCAGCAGAGGTTTCCTGGGGCCCAGCAAGGAGCTGAGCCATGACACATGGACTGTGCTGGGCAGATTCCCCAGCCCTGGCAAACGTGGGTGTAGAGCCTTACCTTCATCAAAGAAGCGGCTGTTGATCTTAGGTGTGTCTTCAAGTTTCAAAGTCTGGGTGACCTGTGCCATCATCCCATACTTGTTACTGGAAACAGGGAAGGACGTCAGGTAACAAAGGTTGGCCAGCTCTCCAAAGCAATCTTTCATGTCGAATGTTACCCCCATCTCCACTTCTACCCAAATCCTGCCCACCTTTCAAACCATGGTTAAATCCAGACATACTGACCCCCCCTAGTGAACAGCACCCACCCCTCCTGGTCACACAGCTGTCCTTCCATTGAAGGACATATGCACCTTATACCTTCAACCAGTCTGGAGTGTCTAGAGGGTAAGGGATTAGCTCCGTGCCTCAAAATTCCTTTGTATTTCCCACCACACAGTGCCAAGAATATAACACGAATTCAATAAACAGCAGTTAATTGGATTGATTTTCAAAATGTATTTGAATAAATAGGTGTCCAATCTACATTCTAAGTACTCCCTAAAGCCTTTCTAAACAGGGCAGCCAGCAGTGATCCTGGCTTTTCCTGATCTGTAAACCTTAAAGTCTGGGTCTCAGATATCTTTCGTTGGCCTCAAATTGTATTTCATGTCTAAGATTTTTCCTAACAAATGGCCTGTTAGCTTGATATGGGGGACAAGGGATGGGCTCTGCTTTGCACCTCTTCATGGCCTAGCCTGGAACAGGGCAGCTGAGAAGCATTCAGCTCACCCCCCCCCCCCATCAATGATGAA